AAGGTACCTAGTTTACTTCTTGATTCCGGAGGAAATTTCAAGAGGCTTTTGGTACAAGATTATATTTTAGTATGACATTCCATCCTCAAACAGATGGTTAGTTAGGAAGAACGATTTAGACCTTAGAGGATATGCTTAGAGCATATGTGATAGATCTAAGAGGTAGTTGGGATTGTCACTTGTCATTGATCGAATTCTTGTACAATAATAGTTATCACTCTAAGTATCGGTATGGAATTGTATGAGGCTTTATATGGTCGGAATATATTAGGTAGAAGTCGAGGAAAAGGAACCTTTAGACTAGAGTTGATTCAACTCACTACCGAAAAGATGAAGTTAATCTAAGAACACCTTAGAATCGCACATAGTATATAAAAGAATTATGTAAATCCTAAGAGGAGACATGTAGAGTTTTAAAATGATGATTTTGTATTTCTTTGAGTTTCTTCAATGAAAAGAGTAATGCGAGTTTGGAAAGAAGAAAAAGTTGAGCTTGAGGTACATTGGATCGTTTGAGATTATTAGTCAAATTGGAGTAGTGATGTATGAGTTAGCATTGCCACCATAGTTTTCAAGTATGCATCATGTATTCCATGTTTTCATACTAAGAAAATATGTACTCGAACCATCTCATATCTTAGAACCGTAATTAATGGATTTAAGTCCTAACTTGTCTTATAAGGAGTAACCGAGTGGCAATAATAAGGTTAAGAAATTATGAAAAAGGAGATTGTATTCGTTAAGGTCATTTGGAGGAACCATTCGATCGAAGAAGCCACTTGGGAGGCTAAGGAGGAAATGAAGAGGAAGTATCCTCACTTGTTTACTTAGCAAGGTACGGTTAGAATTAAATTCAAGGATGAATTTTCTTAAGGGGAAGAATGTAATAGCCCATCCCAAAATAATATTTAAGCTAAAACACATAGGCTTGGTATAAAAAACAAAACAACAAATAGCCCTCCCATTTTCTTTTTTCTTTCTCCTTCTCGCTCACGCATTTCTCCTCAAATTTCTCCCAATTCTCTCTTTCAAATCCTAAGCTAAATCCTTGTTAAAATAGCTTAGAAAGACCATAAACAAATGGATTTAAGTGGAGCTTAGCTAAATTAAAGCTTGAAAAGCTTAGAGAGTAGGATTGAATTGGGGATTGAAGAGCAAATTACTAAAGGTAAGAAATTTCATCATTTGGTCTTTAAATTGGAATGCATATATGTAGTTATTGATGATTTTAAAGTTAGACTCGCATTTGTTTAAATGAAGAATTGAGTTAGATTAATGGTAGGATTTTGAGACTCATTTGGGAAAAAGTTAATTGAGTGATTATAATTGATTAAATGATATTTAATTATCTTAGGTAATTGATTTATGAAGTTGACTTGAAGGTAAATTGAGTAAATTTGATTAATTGAGAGGTTGAAGATGATGAATAGTGAAAAATCTGAAATTTTGAATTGAAAAGAATTTTTAAAAAAAATGGAGAATTAAGTTATATAAATGCAATTAAAAATGAATGGAATGAGTATTGGGTGAATTAGAATGGAATTGATGATTTAATTGAAAATTGATTATTTAAAGATTTGGATTGAAATTGAGAAAAGATGATATGTATGAAGGTTGATTGAATTGAGGATTGATTATGAGATATAGTTAGGCAATTGTTTAGAATTGTTAAAGAGATTATAGAGTTTAGTTAAAGTTATCATTTTGAGTCTTTCGATAAATTCCATTTGTAAAGATAATCTTGTATTCCTATTTCTAGAATAATTCATTTGTTTTGAATTATTCTTTGATATATGATATTGATAGTTGTTCCATCATCAAATGTTATTAGATTCTTCGAAACGGGTGACTCTATCTCGGTAATCTTAATTCTGTTTGATTCTTTAGTTGTATTATGAGTAGATATTATATAGCATGTTGTGTTTTTAAATTTCTTTGATATTTCATCCATGCATCATCAATTTATCCATGATTTAAGTACATTCCTTAGAACTTAGATAGCAACAAACTCTATATGTATTTGAAATGAATTCGCATAAAAAATCGTCGGAATTATTTGTATTATTTTAAAAAGAGATTTGAGTATATGTTTGAGCAAATGTTTGACTTAGTTTGATATGTGATTATAACTTTGATACTAATTTATCTTATATTGTTATTTTAATTATTCATATAATTTTGTAAGTACTTATTTGATATTGAATTGCACCATCAAATATGATTTGAGTGTGCATTGTTTTTGATATATTGGATTTGAATATGTATAAATCTTGTATGATTTTCAAAATGTTTTCATTACCTTGGGGAACCTAGCTATGAGAGGCGTAGCCTTTGAGCTCAATGATACTAGGCTTCAGCTAATAGGAGAGATAGAATGCTAACTCGTGTGTTGACCATTATACGAAACCTAGTCATGGGAGGTATGACATTTAGGTATTCGCATCCAATGATACGTTATATTTACCCCCAATGATTATAAAACCTAGATATGTGATTTGATTTGATTTGATTATGATATATATATATATATATATTCGATGATTTGATATGAATTGGTTTTGAACCAATTAAGTTACGATGTACGATTTGGTTTTATGATATGAATTTGTTTTGGAGAAACTAGAATTGCATCTTGAGTTGAATTTTAAGTTATTGTTCTTAGTCCGCTTTCCTCATTTAGATATGTTATATAGTATCTATTACAAAGTCGTTGATTTGCTCACCCTCTACCATTTTAGTTTTGCAGGGTTTATGAGGGTGCCCCTTTAGCTATCCCTCGGTTGCTTGTCTTAAAGTCGATACATTGATCGTACGACTCATTTAATTGTAATATCTTAGAACTTATGTTTGATTTTGTTGCATTTTTAGAAGCTTATAGCCTGTGGGAGTTGTATTAGGAATCAATTATGGATATTGATTGGAGAAATGCAAGAGTAGCATGAATTATTATTTATGTTGAAAATATAATGTGATGAATATTAGTTAAGGATATTGTCAAGTGAAATGATATTTGAGGTGGTATTGATTTGGAGATTTAAGTTTAGACATTTGAGGCTTGCTTAAGTCGAAGTGGACCTTACGGTTCTCTCGATTCTCACATCGGTCATGGCATATTCCTAGGGTCTTGGCATTTTCTTTCACTTTATAATGTGTTTTTGGACCTAAATATTAGCATTAGGGTTAACGCTTTTGGTGTGTTAAGGATAGAGATTTTATATTAATATTAATAAATATGTGTATGTTTAGTTTTATCCAATTTAATAATTTAATGGTATTAATTGATCACTTGACTAATTAAATTGGGCCAAATAAATTAATATGTTAAGTGAGAAATTTAATTGATGGAAAATCGTATTAATGATCTAATGAATAAATTTAGTTTATGGTAGGAATTAATTGACAAGAGTTAATGGGAATTAAATGGTAAGGAAAGAATGAGTTTAATGGTTAAAAGAATGAATTTAATTGAATGAGATGGGTAAGAATTAATTGGGTTTAATTGATTATTTTTTAATTAATAAGAACAAAAGTTCCATAAGCCCAAATATTCGTACAAAAGGTCTAAAACATAATTAAAGTTCCAATTAGACTTAATTGAAGTATAATTGAATTAAATATTAGAATTTTCAACCTAAAGAATTTTTATTAAAATGAAAGTATTCATAAATCAAGTAATATGTGATTTTATAATTAAAGTGATGTTTGAATGAAAACAATAGGAATTTATTTTATGAAACTAAATTGATTATTTTTACGTTGAATATTTCTATTTTTAATTAAATTTGAATTTTCTAAGGATTATTTGAGAAAATTAAAAGATACTAACTGATTTAATTTAACCTAAAGTATTTTAATTAATTGATTAAAATGGATTTTATGAACATGATTTTTTTAAATCATAATTTGGAGTTTATTATATCTAGACACGTCACAGATGTGATAGTATTATTATTTTGTAATGAATTCCTTTTGGAATTTTTTATACTCAAGTTTTAATTAAGGTTGGACCTAATATTCCTAATTATCAGGCATCCTCTTCAAAAATTTGTTAGTTAAATTGTAATGTAAAGGGGGAAGACTTGTTGTTTTGCATTCATAGCACTAGGAATAGAAGACAACCTTGTTGACCTATTTGATCCTAGATTGGGGATGTTACATAATATTTCATATTAAGATTTAAAAAAAAAACCATGTTAAAGCAAATCTTTTCCTTAATTTTAGCATATCAAATTGATTTTGGTAAAAAAAAAAAACAATGAAAGGAAAATTAAAGACTAAATAAATAGTATGATTATATTGAATATAATATTTAGAACAAATAAACAATATCATAATAATAATAAAAAGAACAAAGTTTAGAAATCTTTTAGTTAGGTTTTGTTTGGTACCATTGCAAATTTTTGTTTTCATATTAAAAAAAAAGAACATATCTGATTGCACTGGTATATTTATTTATTTGTGTGCGAAAAAAACTAAATATTAAAACAAGAAAGATTGACTTTTAATTTTTGGTTTTAGCTTTTTACACGACCACTAGCACTATAATTAACATAACCACAAATTTTATTTTATTCCTTCACAACCACCACCATCGTTATGGTTAATTTCACCACCACTTTCATCGCACTTCCTCACCACCACTACCTCCTTCAACACTATCACCATCATAATTAATTTTAACAAACACTTTCACCATTATTCATAAACTTTGCAAACATATTATGATTATAAATAAATAATTTTCAAAAAACATAAAACAATTTTGAATTTTCTATAAACGAAAACAAAGAAATAGTATCAAACAATCTCAATTTTTTTTTAAAATCAATTCCAAAATCACAAATAAAAAAAATTATTTTATTACTTGTGCACAAGATTTGTTGTCATGAAATTAAAATGAAAATAAAACTTATACTTTCATTCTCGGCATTTCATTCTTTGTTACCCACCAACACCTAAAAAGTTTTTTTTTATCCTAAAATTGACACAGGAACCATTTTCTACTCATGGTTTTTTGGCTCCAAAATTTCTTCCAGTTTCATCCACACGAACCAAGATGACGAGCCAACAATGCTATTTCCCATACCAGGCTTGAACAAGATTCTAATCATAATTGCACTTCCACAGACATCTATTGGCACACCACCATTACTGTGTGTGAACAGGCTTTACAAGAACAGTTACAATTCTAGCTGTTGTTTCTAAATCATATGCTCGTTCGGGCGAGTTGTCGTCATCATGTCAGATTTTTACCAATAATCTCTACAAGAACAAATTCCACCCTTGAAGTGATGAAATCGAACTCGATCTCTAACAATAATATCTCTATCGAATGCTTGAGAAACAAACTTGGTAAATTCATGGCAATCTCTACAGACTCTCAAGTTCTTCACAATCCGAAGACTTGTTCCTTCAGTAGTTTGTGCCAACCCAAAAGCAATTGCCAGCTTCTCACTATGATATGTGCTGGAAGACTCCAAACACTCTTCAGAGCAGGATCCAGGAATGATGAATTGAGACTCCTCTTTCACATAACCTGCCAAGCTGGCCTTGTGTGTTACTTCCTCCAGTTTTTTGTAAATCATTCCTGTATCAGGATGTGACTTATCATCCACAACAAATCTGTAAACTTGGTCAGAAACTTCAATCCAGCTCCAACCAGGAGTGGTTTTTATTCCTTGGCTTTTGATTAGTTTTCTCATTCTTGCAACGCCTTGTTCGTCATTGGCTCCAGCATATATGGTAGCAAGTAGCACACAGTCCCCCGCATTTACAGCCCTGAGCTGAGACAGATTCCTCATAGCAATTTCCCCAATCACCACATTTTTGTGAATCTTGCAAGAGCTAAGCAGAGTTCGCCACAACACTGGATCATCCTGCCAAGGAGAATCACCTATGATTTGAAGAGCCTTCTCAAGCTTCCCAGCACGTCCATGCATATCCACTATGCATCCATAATGCTTACTTCCAGGTTTGATCTTGAACTTCGAGCTCATTTGATGGAAATAGTCAACGCCCTCTTCAATTAAGCCTTGATGACTACATCCACACAACAAACCAAGAAATGTAACTGAATCAGGTCGCACTCCTGCCTCCAGCATCTGACTGAAAATATAAATAGCTTCATCACCAAAACCATGCGCTCCAAACCCAACAATCATAGAGTTCCAAGTAAACACATCCCGCTGCATCCCATTAAAGACCTCAAGAGCACCAACCAAGTTACCACATTTAGCATACATATCAATCAGCGCATTCCCGACATACACATTTCTCAAAAACCCTTTCTCACAAGCAATCCTATGCAATTTAATCCCCACATTCAAAGCACCCACATGAGCACAAGACGAAAGCAACCCAACGAGCGTAAACCCATCAACACCCACATTGTCATTTCTCATCTTATCATAAATTCTCAATGCCTCTTGGTGATAACCCGCCTGCGAATAACACGAAATCATCGCATTCCACGCAACCAAATCCCTTTCAGGCATATCATCAAAAACCATTCTTGCAATCTGGACACACCCATTTCCCACATAACACCTCACAAGACCAGTGGAAATAACAAAATCTCTGTCACACCCAGTTCTTATTATAGACCCATGAACCTCTTCACATTTCTTTAAGGCCTTGATTCTCTCACACGCCTTAAGAGTAAAAGTGAAAGTGAAAGTATCAGGACCAGAAACTGAGTCAAAAAGCATGCGATTATAGTAAAAAATGGCTTGAACAGGAGATGGGCTTTGAGCGAATCCTCTAATGATAGAATTCCAAGCTTGAGTTTGTGGGTTTTGAATGTGTTTAAAGAGGAGTTGTGCATAGGATACTGAGCCTGAGACTGAAACAGCACAGAAATTTAAAATGCTGTTAGAAATGGCGGGATGGCTTTGAAGACCGTTAACAATGACATGGGCTTGGATTTTTTTAAGCCTTGTCAAATTATTGCATCCTTGTAAGACTGTAAGTATAGCATTGGCTTTTGATGTCTCCATAACCATCATGCTCCTAACAGGATGGTCACAGCTGAACCAGTCAGTCTCTGCGATTGCCTAATAGGGTTTGTAATCTTCATGGAGAAGTGATTAGTTTGGGAAATCAAGATGGGCGAGTAAACTATAAATTAGTCCCTATATTTTCAAGAAACAATCGACTAGTTCTCCTTGTTTCAAAAACTAAACATTTAATATTATAACTAGTATTAATCTCCCTTAATTTCATTTTGCTTCTCATTATTCATTTCATATATATATTTTTTATTTTCCTGTTTATTAAAATAAAAAAGTAAAATAATTGAAAATAATTAATTTAAAAAAAATTTTAAAAATATAGAGATTAAATAGTTATTTTCTGAAACAAGTAGAACTAATTAATTTATATATTAAAACTAGAGGGACTAATTTATAATCTAGTCAAAGATGGGCTTGGGACCCCCTGTGTGTCAAGAAGCCGTTCTGTCATAAGCTACATTTAGCCCAAGAACTAAAAACCAAGATCATATTTTTAGCTAATGAGCGAGTAAATTATAGATCAGTCCCTATTGATTTGAGAAACAAATTCATTAGTTTTTCATGTTTCAAAAATTAATTATTTAACTTTTTTAATCAATATCATGCTTAATTAATTTTATTTTATTCTAAAAAAATTCTTCTTTTCTCATTAAATTTTCTTATAACACCTAATTTATCTTTTATCTTTTTCTATTTTTTGAAATAAAAAAACAAAACAAATTAGAAAATTGATGAAAAAAATGCTAAATAAATAGTTTTTAAAATTTTTTAAAACTAGACGGACTGATTTATAGTTTACTCGACAAAGAGATTGTATTTGTTGTTATTATTATTATTATTATTTAAATAAATAAGAGGTTCCAACTCAAAACTTTTGAAGAAAAAAAAGAGATACTAATACTAGTTGGATTAAAGCTCATTCGTTGATGAGTTTGTAATTCAATCAACACATGTGCTTCTCTCCTAAAAAGTTTTAGGTTCAATTCTCTGTTTTTTTTTTAATTAATATTTAACCACGATCCTATGCGTTGTAAATGAATAACATTAAAAATACATTTTTTTTTTTTTAAGTTGCCACCGCCACTAGCAGTAGCATCTCGTCTTTGGGTCCTTTTGTTCGTGATAATCCTAAATCTAATATTTTCACCACTAGATCCGATATTTTTATGTTGTGTTCATTAAAAACACATATTGCCAAACTTTATGTCTTATTCTCTAGGATTTTAAGAGTCTTAATTTTTTTTTTTTTGTTGCCACCGCCACCAACAGCAGCATTTTTTTCTTCTTTCTTGTTTTCTTTGATTTGTCCTTTTGTCCACGATAATCCTAAATCTAGTATTCTTACTACTAATCTGATATTTTTATGCGTTTTTTTTCCAAATTTATTTGGTTTTTTCCATAGTGTGAGGATATTGTTTGATTTTTTTTTCTTGTTTATTGTGTCCTTCTGCCTTTTTGAAGATCTTAATTTATGCTCGATGGAAGTTTTATGCAGATTGCTAATAAATTAATTTTCATATCTATTGTCTAAAAATGAGAATTAAGCTAGAAGATCAAAGTAATCAAAATTATTGGTAGATCAATTGTTGAAATAAAATAGTGCTAGTTGTTTATCCACTTATATAATATTTTAGGTTTGAATTTTAGATGTATAGTTTTTAAATAAAAATTTCGTGATATGTTTTTTGGACGTTCTTAATTAGGCATGTAAACTCGTTTCATTTTCTATTTTCAGAGAATACTCTAGTTTATTGGTTGACTTCAGTTCTCTAGATGTAAAAGTCTTTCTCGTTTTTAGTTTAATAAAATTTCTATTGTTATAGTTTATATATTTTAGATCTGAATTCTAAATGTTTAGTTTCTAAGTAAAGTTTTTATTGTATATTTTTTGGACAGCTTTTCGCATATAAACTCTTTTCATTCTCTATTTTCATAGAATACTCTAGTATATTAGTTTGGTTTCAGATCTAGAATTAGAAACCTTTCTCATTTTGAATATAATAAAATTTCTATTATTGAAAAAAAGAAGAATGAATGATATGAAAATGAAGGAAAATTTTAACTTGTCACATAGTGACCTTTCGACAATCGAAAAAAATAAAAAAAAATATAAGTTTGGAGTCGTCACTCGGTTTTCAAAAGGTGAAAACTAAGAAAAACTTATCGCCGATCTTAAAGAGTTTTAAGTAAGGGGGTTGATTACACAACTAAAGAAAACTACGATCATCATAGTATGCCCTCGTAATGAGGTTACCTTGTATTTTTAATTTAAGAAAATTCATTCATATGAATTTTCTTTTTTATCTTGATTTATGTGTTCGATTATTTGGGCCTTTTTTCTAATCAAGTCCTAAAAGAGGTGATTAGGAGATCGAAAGAAAATTAAGTCTCACACTTAATACATTATTAGGTCAGTAGGAGCCCATTTGGAAAGATAAACATTAGGACTAAAAGCTCATGGCACATTAAATCCTAATCTCATACAAAAATACAAAAATAAAAATAAAATGAACATGGTCATGGATCCAAATTCATCTGTCAAATCATGAATAATGATAATAATAATCATAACAATTACAAGTTCGTAATGATATAAGAAAAAACAAAAAGACATAGGCTTCAAGCCCATACCACCTTGCATGCCACATTAAAATATTAAATTTACAAGAAAAAACTAGTAAAAAAAAAAAAAAACTCAAGTCAAATAAAAAATAAAATAAAAAAATAGTAAGAAAAAGAAAAAGGATCCATCATTGGAAAAAAGTCGATCTCGGGTCCTAAACCTACTCCATCTAGAATGACGTAGACTTGTATCACATAAAATAAATATATAAAGCGCAATACATAAAAACATGTAAAAAAAAAAAAATCACGAGATCACATAAAAATAATTTCATGAAAAATAAAATAACCAATAGGCCTCCATAAGATTCTTGGCCAATAAATTCAGATTTGGCTTATTTTAATTTTTAAAAAATTGCTAACCTATTTCTAGCTTCATCATCGATCAATAGTTCCTCAAAAACATTTATAGAAAATAAAAATAATATTCAATCAAGTCCCTTAATCTCGTTTTTTTTTAAATAATTATAAAAATAATATATAAAAATAAAACAAACCCTAAAAATATTAAATATTCTCTACCCAATAAAAATTACCTTTTTATCACACATACCCTTTATCACACATACACATCAAATAACTTAAATTGTAATTTTTTTAAATCTATCAAATAACATCAAGAACTATCAATTAAAATATTTTCAATTAGGTTCAAATCAAACAATTTTAATTCGGTTAATCATCTAAATCATATGTTAATCACATAATTCATAGAGTGTAAATCAATAATATAATCATGCAATCCACATAAATTCGGAGGAAAATGAAACAAAAAATGTTCAAATGTACGAGTATAATTACAAAATCAAAAGTTTGGGATTGAATTGACCACAAGCAAAACAAAGAGAATGAGGTAGACCTACAACGTGCTCGAGACATCGTCCGGGCTACTCACTTACGTGAGGGAGCCTCGGACATCCGATGGGTGGCGAGATAGGTCAAGTTGGCTTTGTCTCTTCCTTTCGATCAACAATGGTATGACACATGTCCGATTCCATCAGTCGAAGGAGGAGCGACGACGCTATGAATTTGGACCGTTGTCTTTTGCTTTTAGGATTTTGTTTTTTTAACTGCTAGGGTTTTTTTTTCTCTTAAGTGGCTGTCTCCTACCCCTCCCCTCATGTATGTGTATGCATAGTATTTATAGGAGTGCTTTTAGGGTTAACCTAGGATTTTTTTCTTATTCGACTTTTCTCTTTTATTATTAATCAACCCTAACCCAATGCTCGATCTAGGCCTATTCCTTCTTCTTGTTTTTTTTTTCCTACTATAGGCCCAATTCCTCTTTTTTTCTTTTTCTTTTCTTTTTTATTTTCATCGTCTTCCCTTTTTTATTTGTTTCTTTTTTTTTTATGGGAGTAAAAATAGGATGATGACGAGTTGTCTTCTTTTTACAATACGTACGTGTTAAAGATATAAGAAGACAAGTCTTCGAACATATTGACTTAGCAAGCTTGTAAAGAAGAGATGTGACAAAAAAAGATAAACTTAAAGAAACAAACCACTTATGATTGATGAAGTAAATGTGCGAACCATCTTGAGGTGATTTGATTTTAAAAATGAATCAAATATATGAACTTTCTTAGGGTGATTTGATTTTTAGAGATACATGAATATACGAACTCTCTTAGAATGAAGCGATCAAATATATGATCTCTCTTGAAGAGAAAATCAATCAAATACACACCTTCTTGAAGATGATTTGATTTTGAAAAGAAAATCAATCAAATATATGAACTCTCTTCGAGTGATTTGATTTTAGAAAAAAAAATCCATCAAATATACCAACCCTCGTGGGGTGATGAAAATCCATCAAACATACGAACCCTCATAGGGTGAAAAAATATATGAATCCTCTTGGGATGTTTGAAGTTCATCAAATATACGAACCCTCATTAGGTGAAGTAACTCTATCAAATATACTAACCCTCATGGGATGAAGAAAATGCCATAAATATACGAATCCTCTCGGGATGTAGGAGTGGTTGAAATATGACCTTTTGCTTTTGAACAATCTTCTTAAGAGAAAGATTGGTCATCTCAATTAGGTAACCGCTTGGAAATTTATGAATGAATGACTTATGGAGAAGAGATATGATTGAAAAGAGACAAATTGGTTAGCTATAATAGGATGACCTCCCGATAAATGGTTCACTATGATAAGGTTACCTCTTAGCAATTTTGGAATTTAATCATCTCGATAGGGTGATAACCTAGATGTTTTTCAAACTTGGTCATTTTGACAGGGTGACTACTTGAATGATTTTTAAACTTGGTCATCTTGATAGGGTAACCACTTGAATGTTTTTTGAAATTTTGTCATCTTGATAGAATGGCATTTTGAATATTTTTTGAAATTTAGTTTATGATGA